GAATTGTAGTAACTTATCAACTATACATTGGTGCAGTGAGGGTTGTGATATTAGAGGGTTGGTTAAAAAGTTCTAAGCCTGACCAACTTTCAACTATGGGCCACAACAATTTGAACTAGTCAATGAAGGACACTATTTGAGTAGTTCATTGCAAGCGTATTTGGTCTGTTGAGGCCGTTTGTATATTAGTGCCAGCCAGTTGAACGTGATAGGGGCCCAAATAGAAACAGAATGGAAAAGAACGAGTGCCAAAAAGTCATCAAGTTTTTTACTTTAGAGAAAAGTACTCCCTAAGAAATTCATGACCGCATGTCACAAGTGTATAGGATGAGTGCCCTGGCTATTCCACTGCTCAACGTTGGGCAGCTTTAAACTAAGGCTGGGAGAACAAGGCCTGATGATGACCCTTGGTCGTCCCTCAACTTCCATCAACAAATATTCAATGAAGGAGATAGAAAAAAAACCGTATACTGTCAGACAGACGTATTACCATTGCTGAACTTGAGGAAGACACAGGTCTAAGCCGTGGATCCATTGAAACTATTATTCATGAACATTTACAGATGAATAAGAAGTCTGCTCGTTGGGTGCAAAAGTTTCTAAATTCTGATCTGAACAGAGAGAATTTAGAGCAAATTGAGGAGGATTTCGTCAAATTCAAAAAGAAATTAGTAACGGGTAATGACACATGGGTCTACAACTATGACCCCAAGTAAAAACGTCAGTCCATGGAATGGCACCATTCCACTTCTCCGGCACCAAAGAAATTCATGTCTTCAAGATCAGTGAAGAAAGTTGGCCACTGTATTCTGTGATGCAAAGAGGTGATCCTTGTTGATTACTTAGAAAGTCTAGAGACGATTACCGGTGCCTACAATGCTGATTTGCTTCATCGCCTGAGTGATTCCATCAAAGAAAAGCGACGAGGAATTCTGACTGCTGGAGTTCTACTAATTCACGACAACGCCTTTTCTCACACCTCTCCTCTTGAAAAGGTCGCCGTGCAACAATGTTTGTTCGAAGAGCTTCCTCACTCTCCATACTCGCCAGACATGGCACCAAGTGATTTCCACCTGTTTCCTAAACTGAAAGAACACCTTCGTGGAAAGCACTATGACGACAACGATGACCCCAAAGCTGCCGTGAATATGTGGCTTCAGAAAACCTCTTCCTCACTGGAAATTGAAAAGCTTCACTATCAATATGAGAAGTGTATTAAAAAGCAGGAGATTACATTGAAAAATACAATGAAAACACTTTCACAATTGTTGATTTTGTTTGTTAGGCTTAGAGCTTGTTTACCAGCCCTCGTATAGGTCTGTTATTGTGTACCAACCTCCACATGTATATATAGGATATATAAAAACACTCAACTCTCCCTCGAGATTTCTGTGGTGCGATCTATAATAGGTGAGGTGAAATGGTGTTTAACGTCGCGTCCAAGATTATTGCACTTATATAGCGACGTGCATGCACGTGTATGTGTGTGGCTGCTTGTACTAGTCCGGACTGATGCCGATTTATAGTGCTAGATCACTGAGATACCATGCCGCAGTTTAACATAAATACCCCACTCAGACACAGTATACTGACTCCGAGCCGACCAGTCCTTGTTTTAGCCCCTTAATGCCGAGCCTCAGACAGGGTAACAACAAGTACCATCTTTTAACGTCTTGTGGTATGACGCGGCTGGGGATCGAACCCTGGACCTTCCGCTCTCCGGGCGGACGCTCTACCATTAGACCACGGAGGCGGTCTATCTATAAAAAGAAACATAGATGTGAGAAACTGAATTAAGAAACCTGCGGTTTTTGCAAGGTAAGCACCACAGGGTACACAGTGGGCGTGCTGTCAGTATCTCACTGACGACACTGTCACCTTCATTTCAGTGTTACACACCTTCACTGAATATGTTTGTTTGTTGTTTAACGCCGCACTCAGCAATATTCCAGCTATATGACGGCGGTCTGTAAATAATCGAGTCTGGACCAGACAATCCAGTGATTGATATGAGTATCAATTCACGCTGTTGGGATACGATGACATGCCTCAACCAAGTCAGCGAGCCTGACCAAGCGATCTTGCATGTTAGCATCTTCCCGAGGCAAGAGAGTTAATTATAACTGACTTTAAAAGTCCAGTTTCCAGCCTTGCCGAACTAAGCTGGAAATCCTGGGCTCGATCGTAGCGCCACCAGTGGTTATTACGAGTTATGTCCCTTCTAAGCTTCTCCTATGGACCAATCAGATTCCACCTCTCGTATCACTTTTATTTGCTTCAAACAAAATGGCGCCGCCCAGTCAGGACGATCTGATCAATAATCAAGATCTATATTGTGATATAACAGGTCTTACATCGTGAAATGCACCAAATCACGTGAGCACCTTGGTTAAAAACATGAAAAGATTTACAACGAGTTGGCCGTACACATGCTTTTCAAATCCTGCAATCGACCGAAATCTACACGACAGTTTACGAACCGGATTTCGATTTAGTTTTGATTTTGATTGGACTATGCATAGACTCGTTAGTCCAGCCAAAATGTAACTCCATAATACCGGCCTAGTTCGGCAAGGGTGGAAACTGGACTTTTATAGTCAGTTAACTCTCTTGCCTCGGGAAGATGGCATGTTAGTCACCTCTTACGACAAGCATAGTCGCCTTTTACGGCAAGCATGGTTTGCTGAAAACCTATTCTACCCCGGATCTTCATGGGTCCAACACTGAATACAGCCACTGACGACTCAATGTGACCTCATATGAATGTCAAAACCTGACCGACATTGACGTAATCACAAAGAATAAATCCGTACTTGTTTTCAGCATAAGCGTGCGTGCATGTGCGTGTGCGCTTTGAACCCCGCACTCAGCAATATTCCAGGCGTATTACGCAGCGACTTTACATAATTGACCAGACAATCTAGTGACTGATATTATGAACATCGTCGGTGACACACTATCAACCAAGGTACCGAGTCCGGCCTCACGAACCGCTTAGCCGCCTCATACACAACCTACATAGCTTACTGGCACGGGTGGCCCAGTTGTCTGTGCAGAGTTGCGTCCCTTGGGCACGCCAGAAACCTATGATTGTGGGTTCGAATCCCGGTTCGCCCTGATTAAGTTTCTAGGTTTGTCAGCACCATACTCGTGGGTTTCACCGAAGAGGTAAACGTCTGAGACCTGCATCACTTCGGGCTTTCCTCCCACATTAAAGCTGACACGCCGTGATATAACTGGAATACTGTTAAAAGCGGCGTTAAACACAACTCACTCACTCACTCACATAGCTTACTGGGAATCATTTCAAACCCGGAATCTCTTCCATGGTAAGTTGATTCATTTCAAGATGTTTGACATTTGTTCGTTTTCATTTCTTTTTTATCCTAGAACATATGTTATTGTCGAAACTGGTATCGGTACCCGGATGTAAAGATCACGTGTAATAACATAAAACTACCGTGTAACAAAATAACGTCATCCTGTCGCACTGTTGAGGCGATATGACGTTTTATTATCCATAAGGTTAGAAATGATCGAGTTCATAAACGTCATATGTGCAACAGTGCAGCTACCACTTGAGTCGAATTAATCCTTTAGTGTATTGTTTATGTCATCCGGACGGCATTGTTGACGTCATTCGAATCTTATTCTGACGTAAGTTGGAATGACATCACGCTAGAAACGACGGTCGTTATCAGTGCATTTTTCTAAAGGGGAGCTAAAATAAGGATAAAAAAATCATGGGTAAGCAAGAAATTATTACACTTGCATTTGTGTCATTCTGATTTTACAAAACACGTGTAAGTATTCATACACTAACCTTGATCTCGCACCGGAAATACAAAAATTCTGACACTCGTATATCAGCATGACACACATGCTCGTATAATAAACTCTGTATCTATACCACCAGTGAAGTCATAAATTGATAACGTTAAATCATCAGCATTTAGGTACAGCGTAGTTTTTATCTCGAGCTGATCTTTTCTACATTATCCTCCAATAACTTTCCTAAAATGACATATATATGGAATATTCTACACGAAACTAGGTTACAGGTGTCCATCGGGAATGTTCCTTTGTCAAAGGAAATATTCCCATTCATTCACTCAAGACCTATAAACCATTACGTCCAAGCTTCTTGATTCTCACATTAACACTGTATGTGTATCCGTACGAGATATCTACTTTAAAAATTACGGGCGTGTTAACATGAGACATGACGTTCACAGCAACAACTCTGTGTTAAACGTCCAAACAGTATGAGAATCAAGTCTGTGAAACGTCAAGATTATTGTGTTTGTTTCTTTTTTCTGTTGTTTATCGCCGCACTCAGCAATAGTCTAGCTATATGACGGCGGTCTGTAAATAATCGAGTTGGGGCCAGACAATCCAGTGATTGATATCATGAGCATCGATCTACGCAATTGGGATACGATGACATGCATCAACCAAGTCAGCTTGACCAAACGACCCCGTTAGTCGTCTCTTGCGACAAGCATAGATTGCTGAAGTCCTATTCGAACCCGGATCTTCACGGGTCTATCCTGAAGTAAATTGACACCGCCTACAATCAGTTTCAGTTTGCGACTACAATGGTTTGGTTTTTAAAGTCAGATATTGAGGACTGACACGAAAAAAACGGGGCGTTTATTATTTAACCTGGGAAGAGAGGACGAAAATTTACAAGAAGTGAAAATAAAGGAGGTAAATCAAATAAAATTGCATAGAACTTCGTCTTGTTTTACTGATACTTTTTCTACTAAAAACTACACCAAGAGTTAGATCGTACAACGCGCCTAGGTGATACGGTAATACTTTCTGTCTGGAACAGACCCAAGTGACTGAGGCGAGTTGATCACTTCTGGTGCACACGCCTTGGTAACCAAGGTAAACTATCCTATCACATTTCGACAAATCGACTTCCGCGTTGAGACCGGTGTACATTCAAATTCGTTACACCTGAAAATATATTGCCCTGTTGAGCAAAACAAGACTCCCGAAAACGCTGATTGTGGGGCTTTTTGACACATATTATAGATTTGCTGAGCCATCGTTGTGATAGTGTTTTCAAATGCTTGGAAATGACCTTCTAATTGATTTATGACCAATTTTATCGAGTGACTTTTGAAGTCCTTATTTGTAGAGGGTGTTGACAAATTGCTGCTCGTAACGCGGATATCACCGCTGCATTCAGAAAGTTTCAAAATGGCCACTTGTAACACTGTTGTTTTACTACTGTGTCTGTTAATTAATGTCGACCAAGTGCTAACCAGTGACTATGTTTTCAATGATCAACAAACACCAGCATTTAAAGACTATGAGATGTTTCAAGATATTTTCCCTTTAACTGTGGGAAACTTCACGGACTTAGTGATAAATCGCCCCGACCCGTGGATCGTCATTTTTCACAAGGGGATGCTGGAGCGAGGCTGGAAGTCCCTGGCTGTCAGCTTGAGGGGCGTGGTCTGGGTGGGCATGGTCGACCTCAACAACAACAAACAACTGCTGCAACAAATTGTAAATAACATTGTTTGTCATATTAATTACGGCGTGTTTATACACCAGTGCAATAAATCCTTTGACGAGTAACCAGGAATAATTGATTTCATGAATTTTTAATGGCATCGATATTGTGTAATTCAGCCTTTGAAATGACGTAGGAGTGATGTCACTGAACAATCAGATGATGTCACAGGCACTTTGTCATTGTTTACGAATTTCGAAAACCTACACAAACTGCAGGTTAAGTCATCTGTAGGTGAATATTCACTACTAATTTGTAGCCATGGAAAATTCGTAGACATTGCCAACTCGTAGACAAAATTCATAGTAAACTTAGTTGTTAAAAAAAATAAAATTTGGAATGTTTTTCCCACTAATATGACCGAACAATCTTCATGCCAAATAAAATGAAAAATAATGAGCTATATTGGTTTATAATTTTGTTTCAATCTACTCCTATCTATAAACAAAAAATCTAAAAAGTGTTGCCTGTTGTTCAAATAATTTTCAAATCCAACAAGACAGTTGGGCAGGTGATCCAAAAGTTTTGCCTGCCAATCTTCAAAGTTACCTGCCCACATGCAGGCATTATGAATATCGAAAAATCACAAATCAAAGAGATAAATCAGGTCTTGATTCAGTTGAAATAATGCAAACAATTACTTGTGAATGTACTAGGAGTTATTAAAAAAATGAATGCATAAGTAGTCTTAAAATTGGCTGCCGGATAGTCGGGTAGGTGGAGGAAAATTGCATGCAGCCCGTCAGAAAAGTTAGCAGCCAGAGGCAGGCAGGCAAGCAGTTATTTCGGACACTGAATATAAGTATTATGTAAATCCACTGGAATATCATCCGTTAATTAATTCATCCATCAAGCTTTACTGAATTATAATAAGACAAATAAATTTGTCATCCAAAACTTGTCTCCACAGGATATATTGCATTGGTGAGATCATTGATATCTCCAAGGAGAGATCGCTGCAATGAAGCTGCATCCAATCTCATTAAAATCTTATCTTAGTTCTCGCTACTGCTAAGATCTGATTTTAATGAGATTAAAACAACATCTCAATGCTTTGCAGACCATTGTGACACGCTTGGTTACCATGACATCACAGTCAAATGACAACCCGTGAGGATCCAGGGTAGAATAGGTCTCAAGCAACCCATGCTTGCCGTAAAAGGCGACTATGCTTGTTGTAAGAGGCGACTAACAGGATCGGGTGGTCAGACTCGCTGACTTGGTTGATGCATGTCATCGTGTCCCAGCTGGTTGGATCGATGCTCATGATGTCAATCACTGGATTGTCTGGTCCAGACTCGATTATTTACAGACCGCCGTCATATAGCTGGAATATTGCTCTGGGGCATTAAACAACAAGTAAACATAATTTATTTATGCCTTATGTTCTAAGTATTTTGGGCATGTGGGGTAGCCTTGTGGTTAAATAATTCATCTGGCACGCTGAAGAACAGGGTTTGATTCCCTGCATGGGTACAATGTGTGGTGTTAAACAACAAACAAACAAACAGTCAAATGACATCACTAATTTCTCTGCTCATGAAGCTGGTTAGCTGTACTTTTTACACACAGGCCACCGCTTATTACTGTCTACAAGCTTAAAAAGTTTAAAGAATGATGATGGCTGATAAATAGAATTTCACCCTCTTGTCTTTTGATATTAGATATATCGACACTCGTCAACTTATGTTGGTGTGTTTGATATCAAAAGAAATTTGGGTGAGATTCTCTGTATGTCAGATGTATATTTGTGATAGAATGATTTGGCTTTGATTTGGCAATGGCATTGATCTTCATAAATGTTTCTGGGATAGCCTTGTATTTAAGGCATTCACTTGTCATGACGATAGCTTCTATTCCAAACTTTGGTACAATGTGTGAAGTTTGTTTCTTGTAATGGTATCACTCTGCTGTGATAGGCATTTAGAAGTTGGGAGTACACGAATACATGACACTTTTTTATGGATACTGTAAATCTGGAAATTAATGCGTCTCCAAATTAATGTGACTGCTGAACCCTAGCCCAAAATGCAACTCAATATCAATGCTGCTCAAAAAAACATGTTAGTGTTTATATTCAAGTTGGTATTTCTGCTATCCTAAGTGTGCAGTGATGACGTCTTATTGTTGATAGTCATTTGGAGACATAAATGTGAAATTAATTAATGCGAGCAAAGACCACTTGCATTTTTTGCATTTAATTCACGCTCGCATTAATTTCAAGATTTACAGTAGTAACTTCTTTTTTAGTCTTTGTATAATGTTTCAGAGCTAGAGTAATTGAAAACAGTTTTAATTGGCTAGCACTTTCAACTCGTACCACGTACGAGCCCCAATCAGGCCATAACTGAATAACGGACATGAAGTAGTAACATATAGTTACATGGCGTCAAAACATTTAGGAGAACTATGACGTCACAATACCAAGGTGACAATGAACAAATAACTTATGCCTTTACTTTTAACTTAGGCGCGTATTTATGAATGAAATGTTGCTCTTTTTAAAATAATGAAGGTTCATGATCAAAATTTAGCTTATATAGTTCAGGTTGCTGAAGACATTTTCTACCCCGGATCGTCACAGGTCTTACAGGATACTGGGGCCCATATCTGATTTTCAAAATGGGCAGGGTCTCAAACACCATAAACTGCTTTGAAATAAACTTAGGTTTGTGCAAACCAGCATTCATCATATTTCGTTAAATGTCACTTGCCAAAGAAATAGCCATGAGTTTGACATGAGCTTCAGTACTTTACAATAGTTACAAGGATTACGATCTTATAGTGTTATGGCGATTAGGTGCCTCACTCTGGCAGCATGGGTACTTTACTAAGAAAGTGTTATCCAAAGGATAACATTTGTTACATTTGACCACTTTCTAAATGGCATTGTGTATTCATAGCTTTCAGCCATGGTAGCTGTGCCAATTTTCACTTGTCAGAGGGGTACTCAAAGTACATGATCTAGACTACCAGTTGTCAGACTTAATTTGTGGAAGCCTTGGTGGCTGAGTGGGTTTGAATCGCAGATCGGACTCAACCCCAAAAGTAAAGAATCTGTGCTTTACTAAGAAAGTGTTATCCCAAATAAAAGATTTGTTACCTTACAGTATTATACTGAGTGAGTATGGTTTTATGCCACATTTGGCAATATTCCAGCAGTATCACAGCGGGGACACCAGAAATGGGTGTCACACATTATACTGATGTGGCTGACGAATACAGGCCTTCGGTATGACAAGTGAAAGCTTTAACCACTCGGCTACCCTTCCGCCCCTTACAGTATTATGATATAGCAGCAATATTGAGCACAGGGGCAATATATTGAGAAAGGTAAGCGCTTCAAAAAGATGAGTCAATTTCAATCTCCCACACTGATGAAGGGCTGTGTTCTTCTGGCTGGGTGATTAGCTCTTGGCAGTCTTTGAAAAGGAAATGGAAAAACGGTTTATTTTCAAGTGCATTATAAAAAATGAAAATCTAATATAATGCATGAGTTGTTAAATTAGAATTATGATTGATTTTGTCAGGGTATTAATATTTGATGTGCCTCAAGATCTATAAAACATTAGGAATTTGGCTAATTGCTCTTACAAAAAGATTACAAAACATGTCAATGATCATTGAATGAATCTCTCTTTTTGAGTGGTATGATTATTTCCAGGATTAAAATGATTGCTATTGTTTGTGAATTTCTCACATTGGTATCTTGTGAAGGTCATCGTGGAATCTCCTGCTGGATAGTGCTGAAACAGAGCTGCACGTATCATTTAACCTCCCTATTGAAATTGTATTATACTTTTAATTTTTTAACCTTCCGTCTAAAATTTTGGGTAAACAGTCTGTAAAGCAAAAACAAAAAATCTGGCCTGAAAAAGTTATTCTATCTTTTCTACTTGAGCGAAACAGTTCAAGTATGATAGGTTGGGCAGTTGATGGATTCAAACTTATAGCCAACAAATTCTGGCAAGGGAGGTAACTCTACACAGCCTTAGCCCACTGGGCCAAAGGCCCTCAGATATCAATAGAGTCCCTGATGGCAAGTGACACACAACCAAAGATGGAAGGTCAAATAATTGTAACAAGGATACTGTGTTTTTTTCGCTGTTTCTTTGGCATATCTTGATAATCAAATGTTTCTACCAGCACCTTCATTTTAAATGTATTCTTTTTACACAAAGTAAACCACCATACTCACACTCACTGATGTTCACAGAAAACAACCTGCCGTGATATTGCTGGAATAATGCTAAAAGCGGCGTAAAATCAAACTCACTCACTCATAGAAAACAAGGGCAGTGGGGTAGCCTAGTGGTTAAAGTGTTCACTTATCACGCCAAAGACCCGCGTTCGATTCCCCACCTGGGTAAATGTGTGAAGCCCATTTCTGATGTCCCCAGCCGTGATATTGCAGGAATATTGCTAAACGTAGAACCAATCTCACTCACAGAAAACAAAATGGTCTGTATTATTTTAAAATGAAATTCTAAAGTTCAAAACATCCAAAGTTTGATGTTTTGAAGAGCACAATTATTTTTTCCTCATAAACAACAAAACCATGGAATCACTATGAATGTGATTCATAGTGTAAAATTTCATTATGTAGTTATGAATTATAAAAAAAAATGAGAAAACGATTCAGATTGTATTTTTAAAGTTCTCCTCAGACACCTCAAAGAGAGGACAAACTATGAGGTCATGTAGCACCACAATATTTTGTTCATGGTGTTAGGATTCAAACTTTAATAAAGGAATAAAAAATAAAAAATTAGAAGCTGATGAGAATCTTATTCAGAAACCAGAAGCCCGAGAGACAGACGAAGATCACTGCAGATGATAATGGCCCAAGGAGTCAACATCAGAACTCATGTTTTCCATTGAGGATGTTTTACTCAACAAACACCAAACGAAAAAAATGAAATCAATTTTTTAAATCATGATATTTCCCTTTAAAGCTTCTGTGACTATTACATTAAATACACAACATCCTCTGACACCAGTATTTCTGGTGTCCCCCGCCGTGATATTGCTGGAATATTGCTAAAAGCGGCGTAAAACCATATTCACTCACTCACTCACTCTGACACCAGTAGCAGATCACTGTACACAGGCAATTGATGAAAACGCAATGAAGGTCTCCGAACCGAACCGTCACACTTCCCTAATTCGATGGCTGGCGTCATACACTCGTAGATCCCTGCAATTGTGTGACCATTGGTGTGTCTTCTCACACTGTAGCCAGTGGGACACCGTCGTATTCTGCTGTCATGATAATAAACCAGTTCGTTGATTTCTTTACATATAAACATCAACGTCAGGGAATAAACAATCTCAATTATCCATTGATAAACAAAACAACCTCTTGATATTAAAATTAAAACAATTAAAGTTTTGAAATACCATAATGTTCCACATGGGTACATCCCAATGTGCGTGGATGGATGCTCATGATATTAATCACTGGATTGTCTGGTCCATACTTGATTATTTTGCAGGCCCCTGTCATATAGCTGGAATATTGCTGAGTGCGTCGATAAACAACAAACCAACCAACCACATGGGTACAATGTGTGAAGCCCATTGCTGGTGTCCATCGTGATATTGCTGGAATATTTATAAAGACAAAGTAAACCATACTCACTCTCTATAATTGTTTTGTTTTAAATACAGAAAACTTTGACCTTCATCCCAAGAATTTCGAAGTCCTTTTATTAGAATTTTTAGTTGCTTCATCTCCTCAACATAGGCTTGACCTTTCTTCGAGTAGAAAACTTGTCTATAAGTTCTCATAAATTGATTTGAACTTGGAGGCACGGGTGACCTAGTGAGCTTGACGTCATATCTGTTGTGTTCCTTAACTGGACATGAGGGCACAGGTGGCCCGGTCATCTATGGTGCCGCAATTCGCTGTGCAGAGTTGCCTTCCTTGGGCACGCCAGCAACCTATGATCGTTGGTTCGAATCCCGGTTCACCAATTATGTTCCACCAAAGTGTTAAATATCTGAGACCTGCATCACTTTGGGCTTTCCTCCCACAGTAAGCTGACACACCTTGATGTTACTAATATAATCAGTACTGTTCAAAGTGGCGTTAAAACCAACTCACACACTTAGTTGGACAAGGGTTGGAAACCCAGATTCACCTTTCCTGACTTTTCCTTGATTTCAGCAAGTTGTTCATGCCTGTGACCTGCTTGACTTAAAGTTATATCTTAGAATTCAACAAACACTCATTTAGAAAGTAGCATAGTATAGGTGTGTGACAATGATAGTTGTTGCCTGCAGCATGGAATAGTCATCTAGCAGGGGACATTAATGACGTGGAGATGACACTTAAGTGTTGGGGAGACGAAAGGAAATGGAGTTGGAGATGAAAATTGAAAAACATCTCTAATTGTATTATTTTTTTCATCTTTTTAAAGAAGTGTCACATTCTCTCAATTTTGCAGGGTTACAGTGCTGACAACGACAGTGATGCGCGTGTGTACAAATATGGCACCCAGAAAACAAAATTAAAATCTTGGCGTCGAGTTAGCGACCCCAACACTGCGAGATCAACGGCTGTCAGTTCCATCCCAGATACAACCTTGCAGCTGACCTCAGATGACCTTGAAGACTTTTTGATTGACAGTTTCATGTCGAAGCCGTCCCGATTCCCTGCTGTCTTCATAACAGGTAGCAGCAATTACATTTATATAAGTCCAGGCTTGTTAATGTGCCTGATAATTAATGTGAGTCAGGTTAACCTGTGTCTGACCCACTGGGAGTGGAACGCCACGACCATGCAGTTAGATTGATGTGGGTGACCCAGGCTTGTCTCCCACTTCCGCCATGATGCAGCAGTTCTGCGATGACAAAATTATTCTTAACTCAATATCAGTATCAATATCAATAATTTCTAGTGAAATATAGCAATGGTATTCTCCCCAAAGAAATAACAAATGCAGGTAGTAATTTTCTGTATTTTTCTCTATATTTGAGAATAATTTTCAATGTTTCCATGGAGACTTAATTTTAAAATTTTTGATAACTGAAAATGATTAAATTAATCAGAGATAGACACGGCCACTCAGCTGTCCGTGACGAGTGAAAATCCAGAGGGAATAGTTATCCCAAAATATAGTTAATTTACAGAAACTATTAGTCCAAAATTAGCCGTGGAGTGGTTGGGGATTGGCAATGGTGTCTCTCCTTGTATTAAAGCGAGCAGGAAATTGGTGCGTAAAATGTAAGTACCGCTTGCTCGCAATTTGTCTGCCTCCTTTTGTTTATTGTCATGGAGGATCCACTGCACATGTTGGAAACAATGACATATTGCATTAAACTTCTCCCAAACAAACAATGGAATTTAGTGCTAGACTTGGTGTCTGTCACTGGTCATCGTGTCAAATCTGGTCATAAGTAGATCAAATGGTTTGTACTTGATTTGTTGTTGTGTAACTCAGCACTCAGCTGGTAGTTCAGCTATATGACAAAGGGCTGTAGATAATTGAGCCTGGCCCAGACAATCCAGTGATTGATATTTCCATTCCGTCTGGGGTATGATGACATGCAATTAACGAAGACACTGACTGATTGCCAAATCCATTGAATCGCTTTTACGACCAGAATGGGTTGCTTGGGACTGTTTCTAACCGGGCATGTATATACACAAAATTATGCTAAAAGGTTTAACAAATTTTGGAACCTGGTCCTTCCTTGATTTAGTTCTGATTTAAAGGGGCACTGATCTAACGCAATTCCCCGGACTGGTTGTTGCCTTTGTTATTGTTTTTTTCCCCGTGAGTACCCAGATGATACGCAACGCAACTGAGCGTGACCAGAGACTGGGCTACCGTCTGCAAGGACAGCTAAATAAACTTTGATGCTTGAGGCAATATTTGTTTTACGCATTTTTGCATAAACACTGATTGGTTAACTGTGATCTATAAAGATTTCGACAAAGGGCGCATGTTAATTAATTTCTTAAGCCTAAACAAACAGACAAAAAGAACAGCGGAGCTCATCGGATGTCGTCATTTGGAAATACCCCAGATGGTTATAGTTTAATACTAAAAAAAGTATCCATGCAGTGAAAGCATTTTCGGATTTCGGCTTGCGTGGATAATACGATTACTACTCCCTTGTTGTCATCCACGTTTTCTCGTATAACCCTACACTTGTGTATTTGTCGTCATTCACTTGATGCTCAGTTAATGAATTTATTACAGGTACAATTAGTGGTAGCACCACTTAGATTACCTGACAAAGGTTCCCATTTGGCATTTATTGTGTCTGGGGTAATTATTCAATCTAAATCCAGGTTTGAAGTGAGCTGAAATGTGTGTTATGTAATATGCACGTGGCAGCCCAACAAGGGATGCATGATCAGTTGATTTACTTTTTTTTGTAAATCAACGGATCGTTCCTAGTCATCAATGGATTAACAGACAATACGTTGATTGATTAATCACTGTTATCTTGCACAGTGGATATGTCAAGAGTGAGTGTTTACATGTCTAGGTTTACTAAAACAAAGGGAATATACTCATATCATGGCGTGAAGTGCCGATGTAAAAACAACATACTTTGTTCAAAGGGTTAACTGTTAATACGTTGATTGATTGATCATTGTTATCCATCACTCAATGGATTTTTTAGGAACCGTGGACGTTATGAAAATAGTTGTCACATGGGCTTTCTCAGCAGACCATTGAGACTTGACACCTATGTGAAACACCTGAAACAATCCAGGTGATCAGTTGAGAAATGAACACGGGTTATAATATTCCGAAACGATATATATCTTTTAAAATATTTGATTGTTGCTGAGACACGTGACATCGAATAAGTTTCTTTGTACAGCTGCAGACAAGTGGGATATTGTTCCTTTGTGTGGATATTCACGGATACATTCCTCGAACAAGGAAGCTGCCTAAAATTTATACACATAAATTTGGTAGGTTGTAATTATGATATTTGCATTTTGTTTTCCTTCATTTGAACCGATTCGTTCTTGTTTCTCTACGTCTTGGTTGGGAAATTCTTCAATGAGCGATAGACGTTGTTTTCACAGGTCTTTTCCTTTGTAAGCGTGTATATATTACCGTCAATTTGTAAAATGTGATTCTTTCAGGCAAAATGTGTAAATATTTCAGTCATTTTGACTAAAAAATCTGTCCAGATTGATTAAGACGATCAAAAGGGCCTACAAACATCACAACAGATTATTTTGTAGGATTAGAAGCCAAACAACATGGAAATGTACTTTTCAACGTAACATTTTCAGTCTCTTGGTGATGACATTAAACATCAAAATGTTTGGAATTCGTTATCATAATAATACAGGTGGAAATGTTTTTCAGTCACTTTGTAAAAAATAACTGAATATTTAGACGTTTAATAAATTTGTTACACATTTGACAGTAAAAAAATATACACACTATAAAAAAAGCAATGCTCAGGTGAAATATTTACTTTGCGTAGCAAGTCAAAATAGTGTAAACGAAAATCGCAAAATTACCAAGCGAGTGACTTATCAAAACTTCGTCACCATTACCGATGCTACCCACAAAGATACCTACATTTCTTTATTATCTCGAAAACTGTATTTCATTTTGTTGATCAGTGTGACCATACGCCCTTATTACTACCCATAAAAGTGGTCGCGAACTAGTCTAGGTTTCTGCTATACATCCGGGTACTCACTGGGAAAAAACAATAACAAAGGCAACAACCAGTCCCGGGGAATTGCGTTAGATCAGTGCCCCTTTAAATACAGTCAAACACTGTTGTGTTAAACTTTGATGTGTCGAAGATATAGTTGTTTTGAAGTAAAAGCTTTGTCCCTGCGTATTCCTTTATATTTATCATTTTCGGATGTTTCGAACATGGGATAACTCAAAGTATTTACAGATGTTGTGGAATATATACTTGGATGTCAGATGTTGTGGAATATATACTTGGATGTCAGATGTTGTGGAATATATATTTGGATGTCAGATGTTGTTTATTATAGGGTGTCCCATTTGTCTTAATCGCCGCAATTCGCTGTGCAGAGTTGCGTCCCTTTGACACGCCAGAATCCTGTGATTGTGGGTTCAATCCCGGTTCGCCCCGATTGTGTTTCTAGGTTTGTCAGCACCATCGTGGGTTTCACCAAAGTGGTAAACGTCTGGAACCTGCATTACTTCGGGCTTTCCTCCCACATTAAGCTGGCACACCGTGATATAACTGGAATAATGTTAAAAGCAGCGTTTAACCCAGCTCACTCACTCACTATTATAGACAAACCTATAATCCCATTGTTTGGTTGGTGGAGGGAGTGGAATGGGTTGATGTTAATTGGGCAGCAGGATATGACAGTCCACTGAGCCCTGCCGGAAGGAATACAGGGAGGCCTAATTTGGTCCACTAAGCCAATTTGTTTACTTCCTAATTTGATATTGTAAATTAATCATGATTTATAACATCCCTGGGGCTAATGGCTAAATTCTGGGAGTAACACAGTAATGAAACAAGGCAAGGGCAGCTTATCTATTGACCTGCTGTGTCCCCGATTGGCCGTTTCTGTAGGGTTTGTATGTTCGTACAAGTAGCTTCTTCTGCACCATACTCTGGTCAGCTGACCTTCATGTTATGGGTTAAGGTTGAGACAGACATGTGTCAAAGTTCAAACAGTACCTGTATCAAGCCTTCCTAACATAGTACCTGTATCAAGCCTTCCTAACATAGTACCTGTATCAAGCCTTCCTAACATAGAACCTGTATCAAGCCTTCCTAACATGGTACCTGTATCAAGCCTTCCTAACATGGTACCTGTATCAAGCCTTCCTAACATGGTACCTGTATCAAGCCTTCCTAACATAGTACCTGTATCAAGCCTTCCTAACATAGTACCTGTATCAAGCCTTCCTAACATAGTACCTGTATCAAGCCTGCATTCACACAGTACTTCTATCATGTACAGATTCTTATAGTACTTCTATCATGTATGGATTCTTATAGTACTTCTATCATTTATGGATTCTTATAGTACTTCTATCATGTATGGATTCTTATAGAACTTCTATCATGTATGGATTCTTATAGTACTTCTATCATGTATGGATTCTTATAGTACTTCTATCATGTATGGATTCTTATAGTACTTCTATCATGTATGGATTCTTATAGTACTTCTATCATGTATAGGTTCTTATAGTACTTCTATCATGTATAGGTTCTTATAGTACTTCTATCATGTACGGATTCTTATAGTACTTCTATCATGTACAGATTCTTATAGTACTTCTATCATGTACAGATTCTTATAGTACTTCTATCATGTATAGGTTCTTATAGTACTTCTATCATGTATAGGTTCTTATAGTACTTCTATCATGTATGGATTCTTATAGTACTTCTATCATGTATGGATTCTTATAGTACTTCTATCATGTATGGATTCTTATAGTACTTCTATCATGTATGGATTCTTATAGTACTTCTATCATGTATAGATTCTTATAGTACTTCTATCATGTATGGATTCTTATAGTACTTCTATCATGTATAGGTTCTTATAGTACTTCTATCATGTATAGGTTCTTATAGTACTTCTATCATGTACGGATTCTTATAGTACTTCTATCATGTACAGATTCTTATAGTACTTCTATCATGTACAGATTCTTATAGTACTTCTATCATGTATA